TCCAAAGAGCCAGCATTTGGGCTCTGCCAAACAGATTACAACAGTGCCAATCAAATAAGATGGCGCCTCTCTAATTCCCTCTTGCCCACACTGAGGGAGCCCAAAGCCACAGAGCACAGCAGGGTGTAAGAAGTTTGATAGAACAGATCATATCACTGCCATCCCTCCTTCCCCATCAGGTCAGCACTATGCTGGGGTCGGGTGTCGTGGTGGGGGTGGTAGGGACAGAAACCAAACAAGATGAGATTCGTTTTCATTTCTACTGGGCTGGACTTTTTAACACCTGCTGGCAGTCCGAAAGCTAGGAGGCCATCTGAGATGCCTTCAAGAGATTGAGAAGGGATCTCATTAGAGTACACTTGAAGTAAGAAGTCAGGGGGAGGGGAGGAACCTTACCACCTACTGACTGCAGCCCACCAAGCCTAGCCCACTCAGTAACCACCCCACCCCAAGCCCCCATCCGTTAGCAACACAGGGTAGGGGTTACCCCAGAAGAGGATGGATGACACAGGGGAGGGGAAACTTTGACTTTCCAATTCCAACGTTCTGAGTCACTTTTGTTTAAAACACTTTCTAGAAAGGCGTACGAGGTTTTGAATGACATATAATTGCCTCCGCTTGCCCGATAAGGCACTCAGAGAATCTCTCCGACTGGGGAGTTAAAAATCAGGCCAAACGCGAGCTCCAGCTCGGGTATTACTTATTTCCCTTCCTGGTGTTGCCACGAGGCCCGGCTCCTTGATTTTCCTCGGCGGGGAAAGAAGTTGTTTATTGTTCCAGCTGTTGCCATAACAGGCAGTGTCTCCCTGTCACTGTCTTGTGCTGCCCAGATGTGACACCACAACACACGTTCCAGACCTGCAATCCCAGGCACTCAGGCCAGGAGGAAATGGACTTGCGCTGCGGCAAAATCCGCCAAAGAGGCCAGCCCTGCTCAGGAGTCTGCATCCCAGGGTTTTCAACCACCGCATCCGTGAGCGGGGGAGAATGGATGGAGCCTGTCTCTGGACCAACAGGATGGGATCCTGAGGAATTTCAGCCAATCTCACGACCTCCCATCCTCCCTCACCCACTCCTTTGGTCCCAGCCAGCAGAACAGACCCCGTCTCATAAAAGCCACAGAAAGAAGAAATCAGAAACTGCAGACCAGTTCTTTGAGAGCCTGCCCCTAGGGAGACTGACATAGGCAGCAGGACACAAAGAATCAGGACAATCCTTCAATCCCCATCGAAGACCTCTGCTGTGTGGATATCACCAAGCCTCCCAAACTTGGTGGATGGTGGCTCTCTCATTTATCATTCAAAAAGAATAGTAAATAAACAGGCAGCCAGCATGCATACTACGCCAAGGATTCTTTGGGGCTGTATGTGTCTACTGGCCAACTTACCCTGATTTTGTTTTTGTTGAATTATTTCTCTCCTCTCCATCCTATGACTCATCTCTTTTGATTCTTGTCTCCTCTCTGTCCCACTTACCACACACTGAACACCCCATTCCTTCAGCCCCTCCAAGTAGTGCTAACTTGTGTAGAAGACTTTTACTGAAGGTTGTAAGCAACAGAATTACAGCAGAGCAAAATATAAGAATTGGGTTATTTTGATCTCATGTGCTTGTATGTACACAGAACACCCTGGAAAGGTACATTACACAAAGGACCTGGAGTCAGGGGTGGTAGGGAGACTCCCACTTATCCAACAAATTCTGATTGAGCACCTCATATGCACTAAGCATTGTTCTAGGTACTTGGGATACATCAGGGAACAAAAAGACAGAAATCACTGTCCTTGTGGATTTTTTATTTGGTCAAGGAAGGCAAAGAAAACACACACACACACACACACATCTCAATGATTTAGTATAATAAAAATGATGAGTTGGGGTCCCTGGGTGGCTCAGTCAGTAAACGTCCTACTCTTGATTTTGGCTCGGGTCATGATCTCAGGGTCATGGGATCAGATCCTGCACTGGGCTCCACACTAGGCACAGAGCCTGCTTTGGATTCTCTCTCTTCCTCTCTCTCTGCCCCCCTCCCACTAAAAAAATGATGTGCTATGAAAAACAGAGCAAATAGAGCAGGTAAGGGAGCTCAGAGTGCAGGGCAGGAGAGCTACAGTTTAAACTGGTGGACAAGAAGGCCTCAGTGAGAAGGTAGCATTCAAGCAAAGGCTTGCAAGAGGTGAAAGAGTCATGAGGATCCATGGAAGAGCATGGCGGGACAGGGAACAGCCAGTGCAAAGGCCACGAGGTAGGAGCACGCACGGTGTGTTAGAGAAAGAGCAAGGGGGCCAGTGTGGCTGGAGCAGAGTGAACAAGAGGGAGAAGGGGAGGACAGGGGTCAGAAAGAAGGACCTAAAAAGCCATGATCAGGACTTTGGGTTTTCTCTGAGTAGGATGGGGGGCCTGGGATGGGCATGAACTACAGGGAGACAAGCCATAGCATGGAGCCCAGTTAGAAGGCAGTTGTGGCCATTGAGAACAGAATGAGATGCTGGCTCCCACCAACCTGGTAGCAGATTCTGGACGTCTTTTTTTTAGACACACTTTATTTTTTAGAGCAGTTTTAGGTTCACAGCAAAACTGAGTGAGAAGTACAAAGAGTGCCCATCAACCCTCTGCCCCCACACACGTACAACCTACCTCTCTGTCAATATCCTATACCCCATGGGTATGCTTGTTATCACTGATGAACCTGCACTTACCCATCATTATCACTCAAAGCCCAGAGTCTACATTAGGGTTCATTCTTGGTCTTGTACATCTCATGATACACATTTTTGACAAATATATAACAACACGTATCCACCACTGTAGCATCATACATCATAGTTTCACTGCCCTAAACCCCTGTGATCTGCCTACTCATCCCTCTCTCTCCCCCAACCCCTGGCAACCAGTGATCTTTCTACTGTCTCCATAGTTTTGAATTTCCAGAACGTTGTATTGTTGGAATCATACAGTATGTGGCCTTTCCAGATTGGCTTCTCTCACTTCCTAATATTCATTATGTTTTCTCCATATCTTTTCATGATTTGATAGCTCATTTATTTTTAGTGCTGAATAATGTTCCATTGTCTGGATGTACCACAGTTTATTTATCCATTTGCCTACTGAAGGACATCTTGGTTGCTTCCAAGTTTTGGCCACTATGAATAAAGCAGCTATAAGCATCCATGTGCTCATTTGTGGGTGAACACAAGATTTTTAAAATTCATTTGGGTAAATACTAAGGAACATTCTGGATTTATTTTGGTATCAGAATTTCCTAATGGATTAGGGTGTGTAAGAAAAATAGAGAAGGGGAAAGACCTTGGATAAAGCAGTTTGGGGGAAGAATCCAAAAGTTCAATCTTGAACATGTCAACAGAGGAGGTTCATTAAATACCAAAGTAGAGAAAACAAGTAAGCAGTTATTATACTAGCCTGGAGTCCACGAGAGACTTTTGGTTGGGACATTAAGTGGGGAGTCAACGGTACAGAGATTAACTTAAAGCCAATTCTGGCTTTAAGTTAATCTTAAAGTGAGTGAGTACAGAGAAGTGAGTACAGAGAAGAATATCAAGGACTGAGCCCTAGGGCCCTCCATCCATATCAAGAGGAAGACAAGAAGAGAGGAATCACGAGAACAACCAGTGAACAGGAGAAAAACCAAGAGAATGGGATGCTCCAGAAGGCCACTGAAGAAACTGTATCAAGGAGAAGGGACGGATCAGCTGTGCAGATGCCAGGGACAGATCTGTTAAAATGAGAACTGAAAATTAACCATGGATTCTGCAACATGGAGGTCAGCAATCTGACCTTGAACAAGAACTGTTTTGTAGCAGAGACAAAAGAAGGACTGGGGTAGATTTAAGACATGCAATGATATCAGTGGGATGATATCATTCCCCGGGAAGGGAAAATCGATTCTGGGGAGATGGAAAAAGCCTTGTTCTTGTTATGTCCAGGGCACAGATAAACACATAGTACATAAACAACTACACATCAGGATGTCTGTGGTATCAACAAGTCATGGGTGAGAGGAGGCGGTTTAAAAAACGTCCAAAAAGACTCATGGAGGAGGGGGGGACAATAATGAAAAAAGCAAGCGTGAGAAACACTAGTTCAGGAGAAAATGTGAGGAAAAGCCTCACAGGCAGAGAAGATAAACAATACTCCAGTGAGTTTTGCCGAAAAAGGGGTCAAAGAAATGGGAGAGCAAGGGTGGCCAAAGTGGGGTTAAGTAAAGTGCCTCTGAAATATTTAATAATGATAACATACATGTGGTGCTTATAATGTGTTATTAGAGGCCAGACACTATTCTTGACCCTTGACACAGACAGTAGTTGGAGAAAAATCAGTTCTTCCCCTCAACAACCCTAGGAGTGGGTCATCATCATCCTAGGTCTGTAGTTGGGGAAATGGAAGCATGGGGGTGGCAGGGAACTCACCTGCCCAGGATCGTGCAGCCAGCAAGGGTCAGATCTGAGATTTATACAAAGGCAGTCTGGCTCCTGAATCAACGTTTTAGATCTATCATAGGTCCTCTTATGTTGTTTGACTTTGTTCTCTATATTTCCTACACAATCACACATTGTCAAAAACGAATATTTGGGGCACCTGGGTGGCTCAGTCGTTAAGCGTCTGCCTTCGGCTCAGGTCATGATCCCAGGGTCCTGGGATCGAGCCCCGCATCGGGCTCCCCGCTCGGCGGGAAGCCTGCTTCTCCCTCTCGCACACCCCTGCTTGTGTTCCTGCTCTCGCTAACTCTCTCTCTCTGTCAAATAAAAAACAAAAACAAAAAACGAATATTTGGCATTTCTCCCCTAAAACCTATCAGTCGTTCTCTCTTGTGGCCTGTCTAGGGTGTGTGCCTGTCTCCTTCATCTTTGGGTCCTTCTCTCTCTGGATACCTTCGTCATTCTGCTTCAGCTTCCAAACCCTAATTCTTATGTCTTTATCTCCAGAGCAATTCACACTTGCCCATCAAAATTCAGCCAGGAAGGGGGGGGGGGAGGTCTTACCTTCCTCAATCCGAAAAGTCCATCAAGACTCCAGGTGATTTCCTTCGAAAAAGTTGCCCACTTCTAAAGGGGAATTTAAATACAGTGAAATTAAAAACAGGAATTAGTGCCTCCCCTGGAATACAGAAAGACAGCCAGCTATTTTATTTGTTGGATTATCATTTTTCCCACTACACAAGAATCTCCACTCACCCCCCATCCCCTCCCCGCCCCCCCGTGGCATTTCCTCCCACAGACAATGGCTTTATTAACATAACCCAAAAGCAGTTTGGGGAAAATTCATGTTAAAAAATATATATCCTTTGCCTTACTTAGAAGACTTTTTCAGAGAAAACTATATTTGAAGATGTTAACCTTAAAAATAAAACTGCCAGTTATTTTACCAGCAAAAGATGGGTTTATTCAGGACAACAGATAATTGCAGCCCAAGACAGACAAGTTAGGGGAAAAGCATAGGCATGTCTGCAGAACAAAGCACAGAAAGTTCTTTATTTATAGAGGAAAGGGGGAAGTCGAGAGGGTCTGTTGTAAAGAAAAAACCCATTGGAGTAAACTGGGAGTTGGGAGTATAGTGGCTTTTCATTGGCTGAGTTGTGACTGTTTCTCATTGGCTGGGCTGTTGCCAGGGCAGGAGGAGAGACTTTCTTCCTGGAAAGAACCGCGGTGGTAGTAAAGTAGTATCCAGGGCAAGGTCCCTATCTTCCTGTTGGGTCTGCAGGCGATGAGAAGTGGTAGGGCATGGGCACCCCCCCTGCCGGCCTCCCAACTCCATTGAGTGAGGTCTCCCCTTATTATTTTTCACAAAGACTACATTATTTGCACAATTGTCTTAATTCTTCACTTAACAGGTTTATACCAAGTCAGAGGCAAAATGATTTAATTCTGTAGATGAGCCCAGTAAGAATATACCTGTCCATGACAAATTATTTTAATTGGGGCCCACAAAATATTCCAGAATAGAGACATACTTCATATTTCTCCTCATTGTCCAACTCTTAACCACTGAACATAAACACACCCACTCACCTTTCCAAAGACAAACATCAACTTCAAGGGCAGTACAGTCATCCTATAAGGAGAAGGAGAAATATTTTATTTTTCCCTACAATTCCCTATTTATAAGTCCTTCCTGTTACTATGCAGAATGTCACTTCCTGTCCCCTTTACTCCCAACCCTCACCCTTTCAAATTCTGCCCCTCTGGTAGCAATATGCCCCTAAGTTACCTCCCCCTTGGCTCCAGCCTGAGCTTAGAGTAGCCACATGTAAAGAGAATGTTCAATTCCTGGCCCAGGGCCGTTCTCATCCTGAAGGATAGCTAAAGGTGCTAGTTTCATCTGGATTATGGAATGTCTTGTGCTTTAACTGCACATTTTCCCCCTTGTCCCTGCTCAAGAATCATAAATGAATAGGAATATGCAGGAATGATATTACTTTACAGATAGTCCTGAACCCACTCTCATGTCTCAACCTAAATCATTATTAGCTCATAACCACATTTGTGATGGACGGCAAATTACTCGGAACCTATCTGGCCACTTAATGCAGGTACATGGCAATTCTTTGGTTGAGATCTACTGAAACAGACTAGAAAGAAGGGAAGTACACAGGTTCAGTGAGTCCAAGTGATGAAAAATGGGCATGAGACAGGAAGTAATATGGCTAAGAGTCTGAGAAACACAGCCAAACAGAGGAGGTCTGAAACCTGTCCTTGAGGAACTTTACAACTTTAGAGAAGACGTAAAACCTTTTTTGACCCTGGGAGCACCTGGGTGGCTCAGGCGGTTAAGTGTCTGCCTTTGGCTCAAGTCATGATCCTAGCGTCCTGGGATCGAGTCCTGCATCCAGCTCCCTGCTCAGCAGGGAGCCTGTTTCTCCCTCTCCAGCTCCGCCCCCTGCTTGTGTTCCCTCTCAACAAAAAACCTTTTTTGACCCTGGGTGCTCTTTTTGAGAAAGGGATAATAATCATACGTGCCTAATAGCATTGCTCTGAAAAATTACAAGTGACAATACCAGTAAAAGAGTAAACAAAAGGCAAGGCCACATGGACCTGGCTCCATCCAATGATGCACAAACCATGGAGTCGCAATCCTATGGGAGGGAAAAGAGGAGGCTGTGTTGAAAGTTTTGCAAAATAGTTTCCATATTATTGATAAAGAAAACATTTCAATCCATTTGCACATTGCACAGATGTTTTAATTTTTCAAATATGTAACTGGTTTTGCAATAATGTGACGCTCTTGCTTAGGCTTTATTTATATGATGGGAAACCAATGTTTTGAGACAATAAAATGGTCCATATATCATTGCATGTTATCTAGATGAGCCATTTGAAAGTATTCAGCTTTGAAATCTGTCCCGGATCCCAGCTATTTTGACTAAGTGTTTTGAAGTTAAATAGGGTGAAACTTACCCAGAAATCTTAGGACTCAGATAAATAGGTTTCTGAAGAGTTTTAAGTTGTTTGGATTAAAAACTCTTTAATTTTTAGATAGTATAAAAATGTTACAAAAATATTTTGCCTAAGTGGTCTGGTTTTAAAAAACAAGTTTGAAACCAAACAGCTTTGCCCTGTCTTAAAAAACCACTTATATGTTATGAAAACCACATGAAATGGATCTCAAATCAAATAATTTTAAGGAAACTATTCCAAAACCAGTATTTTGACAAACTTTCCAAATTTAACTGTTGATGGCAATGACTCTCAAAATTCCAGAGAAACCAGATGTAACTTTCATGCTTTCAAACTTTACAAAATGTCTTATTTTTTCCACTCCTAGTTTATTTTAGCTATTTGCCTAGAAGACTCAAAACAATGAATGTAAGTATAGTTTAGCCACTAAAAACATGCAGAGAAGAAAGGTACCACAGTGGGAAAAAGAAAGGACCTGTCTTTGAGTGAAGCCCAGATTTTGATTCCTTTTCTACCATCTATTATCTATGGTATCTTGGCACCATCCTTACCCAGTTTTAAACTGCAATTTCTGTCTTAGATTGGTTTCTGCCACAAAGGAGAGCATGGGCAAGGGCTTTTATGCAAGCATGCAGGTATTTGGGGAAATGACCAAGGAAAAAGATTGGGAACTGGAAGAAGTACAGCAGGAAAAGAGGGAAAGCCATCACCAGGGGTATCTAGAGTTAGCCACCACCATGGTCAACTGGGTCCCATAGTACAGGGAACTTCTGGGGGCCATGTTGAAAGCCCAAGGGACAAAAGAGGGGACGGTTCTCACTGGGCTCCACTGTCCATCGCTCCACCATCCTCTTGCAGATCATGCATGTGTGAGTGCCAGGTGGGTCCCTGCAGACTTCCCAAGCAGTTGGGAAGTCCTGAGGCCGTGAAGGGGATCCGAACATGCCACCTTAAGATAGGCTCTTTTGGCATGAGGATTATTTTAAGCTGAAAGCAACTGAGAATCAAAAGAGGCAGAAAGAAACCTTGTCGGGATTTCCCTTATCTTGCTAAAAGCAGCAACTTCTGGGAAATGAGGCTGCCGTGAGTTCCCTCTCAGGGGAGTGTCACGGCCATTAAGAAAACAGAAAGACCACTTGCACCTGCATAAACAAACATCACAAACTTTCTTATCTTCTGCTCATTCTCCTAAAAACCTATTTGTCTTTCCTAAAGAAATCTATTTGTCCTTCCCATTGAAGAACTCTTCTCCCCCCTTCCCTTTCCCCTACTAAATTAGGTATGTAATCCTCTAACTTTAACCATTTCATGAGCTAGCTACTTCTTTGGTTAACTTCCACATGCAAATAACACCTTTTCTTCTGTTAATCTGTCTTTGTCAGTTTAACTGCAGGCCTCCAGAAGAAGAACCTAAGAGGGCAGAGTAAAAGTTCTTCCTCCCCAACAGCAGAAAACAAGAGAAGCGAGGTACAGTCTGGACAAGGTGTGGTCAGGCAGGTTACACCTATGTCGGGTAGGTCCAGCAACGACCGGACTAAATGGTGGGCAGCCCAGAGGACATGAGCACAAGAGGGGTCCAATGCAGGTTCCTCATCTAGATAACGGGGTTTAAAAAAAAAGCATTACAGGGGTTTCATTGGCGGAGCCTATGCTTCAACATCTGCTACTCCTTGAACTAAAACCCCCTCTCTCCTTATCTGCCTGGTGAGCAATTCCTCGTCATCGAATTCCTTATCTCTGTACTTTTTCCACACCTAAAGTAAAGGAGGCTCCCTTCTCCTCTCCTTGCCTTCCTCTAGGTCCCTGAAAGCCACTTCTGTCCTTCTCTCCTTCCCTCGCCTCATCACCACCACCAATTCCTACACTCTTCTAACATGAAGGGGTAGCTCACCCGAATGTCAAGATTAGGAAAGACTCTCTTTTTCAGGCTAGCCTGATGCTTCCTCCTTCCCCGAGGTAAGCACATCAGGGTCAGGGCCAGGGCCTCCCTTCTTAAGATCAGTCCTGAGATTGGGCAAGATGAGGCCACCTTTGCCTCCCCTGAAGATGGTGGGAGGGAAGCAAGAGCAACTGACCCCAGCCACAAGTCCAAACCACAGTCTCTCATACCATGTCACCAGCTCATAGATCTGATGTGCTGGTCCCTAGATGAGGCCTCAGTCTATTTGGTCTCTCTGTTACAACACAAGCTCTACCAGAGCAGGAATTTTTATCTTGTTCACTGATATACCCCAAACGCCTGGATCAGAGTTTGGCACATAGGAGGGTCTCCATGTTTGTTTAATGAATTAATGAATCCACAGGGGAAAGGGGCATGATGAGCATTCCAAAAAACCCTCAATCATCCCCTCCAGACAGCAATGGGCTCTCCGTTGTGCTCCCTTAGCACCTCCCAGTATAGCACTTAACACATTATAATGATTTGATATGAAATCCAGCCCTCATGTTTGGCTTGGAGCTTCCCAAGGGCAGAGATTTTATCTTCTATTTATCTTTGTCTCTCAAAGGCCCAGCAGCACAGGGACTGACTCCTAGAAGGTGCTCAAAAATGACAGCTGGATGGATGACAAAGATAAGGAATGCAATAATGTTACATTTTAATTGTCTTTTACTTCTAATGCCAAATATTCTTTTGCTTTAAAGTTAGAACATCTAACTAACGAACCACTTCCAAGCTTGTTTGAGAACTCTGAACAGAAATGGAAAAAAACAAGATAAGTCAAAAGGGAAAGCCGAATGGGTAAATGTAGACAGTAACTCTTGGCTCCTCAGCATCTGTTTTTGAAATCCAAGGAGCATGAGTGAGTCAAGGGGAAGGGTGTAAAGTTCTCTGAGGATTTGCTAACATTGTTAACAATATTACAATGCCAAAAAGGAAAAAAGGGACTCAAGGAAATAAGGACAGAAGCTGTTAAAACTGTAAAGAAATAGGGGCACCTGGGTGGCTTAGATCATGATCCCAGGGTCCTGGGATTGAGCCCTGCATCGGGCTCCCTGCTCAGCGGGAAGCCTGCTTCTCCCTCCCCCACTCCCCCATGCTTGTGTTCCCTCTCTCACTGTCTCTATCTCTGTCAAATAAATAAATAAAATCTTAAAAAAAAAAAAAACTGTAAAGAATAGAGGCACCTGGGTGGCTCAGTCAGTTGAGTGTCCCATTCTTGATTTCAGCTCATCAAGATCTCAGGGTCATGAGATCGAGCCCCACGTTGGGCTCTGTGCTGAGTGTGGAGCCTGCTTAAGAGTCTTTCTCCTTCTGCCCCTCCCCCACCCACTCACCCTCTCTCTGTCAAAAAAAAAAAAACTGTAAAGAAATATAAGGATGGCAAATATACAGCACCTGTGACAAATAATTGCCCCCCTCCATGTGCCCTCACCCCTCCCCTTCACTCTGCCATCCTTGGTAAACATCACTGATCAATTAGATAGAGCATGTGTTTCCATCAAGGAAAAGTCTTCCCAACCAAGATGGCAGAAGAACTCAAATTAATGGTTATTCCTGGCTGAGATCAAGAGTTCTTAAACCTAGATGAACTTCAGACTCGCCTGGCCTCTTCATCACCTCAAGCTGCCATAACAAAATGCCACAGACTGGAGGGTTTAACCAACGCACATTTATCTCTCACAGTTCTGGAGACTGGGAAGTCCCAGATCAAGGTGCTGGCCAGGGACATTTCATTTGGAGATGTCTTCTCTTGGCTTACAGGTGGAAAGCTCTCTGGTGTCCCTTCTTAGAAGGGCACAAATCACACCCTCATGACCTCATCTAAAGCTAAATGTTGCCGCCCAAATGCCCCATCTCCAGATCCCATCACATTGGGGGTTATGGCTTCAACATAGGAATGTAGGGAGGGCCTAATTCAGTCCATAGCATCTGGGCAGCTCCCTAGACATTCAGAGTCCTGAGCCACCCCTTGGGGATCCCAATTGAGTGCGCTGGAGGGGGAGCACAGGAATCTGAGTGCTTAAACGTCTTCCTGTGAGGAGTATTTTACCACTGGCATGGTTTACAATTGCAGGAGCATGATGATAATAAAGAACAGACTAAAAATTTAAATTTTTTAATTTTGTGCATCAAAAGACACTGTCAACAGAGTAAAAAGGCAACCAACAGAAGGGAAGAAAATATTTGCAAATACAGAATATATGGACAACACCTGAAACTCAACAATGGAAACACGAACAACCCGAATCAAAAATGGGCAAAGGGCTTGAATGGATATTTCTCTAAGGAAGACATACAGATGGCCAACATGTGTATGAAAAGATGCCCACATCACTCATTAGGGAAAAGAAAAACAAACCACAATGAGACACCACCATTAGAACTGCTACAATTAAGGGGGGGGAACCCCAGGAAACAGCAAGTGTTGGTGAGGATGTGGAGTAATTGGAACCCTCATGCACTGTTGGTGGGAATGTAAAATGGTGCAGCCACTGTGGAAAATAATATGGCAGTTCCTCAAAAAATTAAAAATATAATTACTATATGGTATAGCAATTTCATTTCTGGGTATTTACCTCAAAATAACTGAAAGCAGAGCCTCAAAGAGTTGTTTGTACACCCCTGTTCATAGCAACACTATGTACTATGGCTATCATATGGAAGCAACTCCAAATGTCCAGATGAATGGAGAGGCCAAAAGTGATAAATACATACAATGGAGTATTATCCAGTCTTCA